TTAGTATAATATTAGATAAAAATTTTATCTCTGACTTTTTCTTATGAAATATAAAAAGTCAGCTTATTTGCTTAAAAAAATATTTATATCATCATATAGAAACAATCATATCATATATATAAAAATATATAAATGATTTTTTTAATCAAATAAAGCAAGTCCTCACTTAACATCATTTTGTTTAACACTATTTCATTATAGCATCACTAAGGAAAGATACAAGTACATTTGTAATTATTTACAATTATTGGGCTGCAATTTGAAAAAATTGTAGGCCTATAAATCCCCACTGTCATTTATCTGTATTTCCTTAATCTCGAGAACAGAGTCAGATACATAAAATCCGAGACCAGATATGGAAACCTTAGGGGCAGAAAGACCTGCTTAATTATATATGAACTACCAATGCAAACCGGAAGTCATGTTATTTCAATTCAAAAATTTCCCCTGAATGGAGTTACATAGATGATCAGCACAACAAAATAAATGTTAAAGGAAAATTATGATATACAGAGCAAGCCACCACTAATTTGAGGTGGAAAGCATATATTTTAAAGTAAATATATTAAAAATTACAGCCTGGCATTGTGTAAAAGAAAAATAAAATAAATGTTAAAGGAAAAATTCGTTTGTTTTAAAGACGCCACATTACATCATCAAGAGACATAGTCCGAAGATCGACTATCTCTGGTTAGGAGTTCAAACTCCTCTTAGAGTTTAACCTCTCCTGCGAACCAACGCTAAATAACGAGTGAACAGCTACTTGTAGAAAGAAAAGAAGAGAAAAAGTCTAATCGGAATGGGCGATCGAACAAAAAAGTTATAAAAACCCCCGGTATCAAAAAGCATGGGCGCGGCTCGACTCGGGTTGTCTATGTCAGTTTTTCCTATTGCAACAAACAACAATATCCTGTGTCGTTGAAAGACAGGTTCTTAGATCATTGTGACACGGAGATTAACGATTTTTCCACCCTGTCGTCTAATCAACAGTAGTTAGATATAAATAAGTTATACGCTGTAATATAACACATATCAAAAGGAAAAGCAAATGAACGATGTTTGAGATGTTGGTTTTTACTTACACGACTGTTATATATAAAAGAGGAAATACACTGCGATAAGTCAAAAAATACTCCGAATATTTTAAATTTTTGTTTGGTTCAATGTCACGACTTGATGAATTTATTGACACTTGGCAAATAATTTCATCATCAACCTTTAATCCATATAGATACGCGTTTCGGGCTTTTGCCCCTTTTCAATCTGTTACATAGGTTGTACCTTGTGGACATCTGCCAGGCACCTTCCGCACTACGTACTTCCGCTCACCTTCCCTTCCAACTTGACGGCCTCCCCCGCATGCCTCGCTACATGAAACATCTCACTCCCAGAGTGCCACACACAACCCCACCTGCGACTGTATAAACATTCTATTTCATTAGTCGTAGCCAGTTTTAATAAATTTCTATGCTTACATTCTTGTTAATATTATTTTTGTTTGTACTATTTTCGTAGCTTTTCTTAAATTTTCTTATGTGCCTATTTTTTTCCTTGTGTACTATTATAATTTCATTCTTATCTATTTTGCCGTTATGAGTTGTGCAATGTTCGTAAAAAACAGAGTTTATTCTATTATACTGTACTTCAAATGCGCGATGTGTTCTTGTTTCTGATCTTCGTTTTGTTTCTTAAATGCATGCTTTTGGTGGTTCACATGTGCAAGGTATTTTATAAACGACTTCAGTAGTGTTGTATTTATCTGGTTTTTATTTCAAAAAAGCCACGAATGTAGGGAAAAGATATGTGTCTTACTCTGAAAGAAACGTCTTAAATAGTTCTTTGTATTGTGTTCAAATTATAAATCTTTCCTAATCAGAATATCTATAATAAACTGTAAAACTTTAGTTTACAGTGAACTAAACAAAAGTATTAACAGTAATGGTAATAACACTGTCGTTATCAAACGAGATGATCTGTGAAGTGGGGGCTGGAAAACAAATAGATTATTTTGTTATTGAGTAAATAACTTTAACATCAACTTTGTCAAGGAAAATATCAAAGTAAATGGGTTTCAGTCAGGAATGGCCAAAAAGCAAAGTAAATGAAAAATTTCAGTCAGGAGTTTTGCAATATCATTAGCATTCATCACGAAAACACACAATTGATATTAATTATATTTATAGAAATTATTGAATATACAACTTTTATTTGATTTGTGTCAAGGTTATTATGAAGAAAAAATGAGTCTGACTAACGAATGTCCAAAAAGCAGTTTCCAATGGCAAAGAAATTTTACTCAGAAGTCAGGGAGTGTTATTGACATGCATCAGAATAATGCATAATATTTACTGAAAGAAGCAACGAGATAGAGAGTCAAAGATGGTGTTAGCATGCTTTCAATGAAACGGCAAGATTAATATACAGTAGCTTTTCTTTAAAATCTACGAGTGCCAGCAAATACCAGTCTCTACTAGATATGCCTCTTCGTTTAAAATTTGGAAGTGGTTTCGGTTTTTTGAACAGCACAACACCTATATAAATACAGTTCACTCAACATTTTAATGGATGGGATTCAAGTTATGTATTTGCCATCTGAAATCCCGAATTTGGTACTTATAAAAAACGCATGGAAAAGGGGATGTATAGTACAGATTTGCGGAAATTACAGAGGTATAAAGATATTGTCCCACACTAAAGATTTAGGAGAAAATTGTAGAAAGAAGGATTAGGCAGGAATCTGAGATTGAAGAGGAACAGTTTGGCTTTTTGCCGGGAAGGACTATGAATGATGCTATCTTTGCTATAAAGCAGGTGATGGAAAGGCACAGGAAAATGCAGAAAGATTTGCACATGGTGTTCACAGATCTAGAAAAGGCGTATGATAGGATACCGAGACAATAGGTATGGACATGTATGAGGAAAAAGAATGTTCTAAAGAAATATGCTAGGCTCGTCAAGGAAATGTATGAGGGAGCAGAGACCCAAGTTAAGTGTAGTGTAAGCAGTAGCGTAGGGGGGCCGCATGAGCGGCTCTCCCCGTGCTGCACTTTTTAGGGCGCGGCAAAATTACGTTTTAGGTGGCGGCAAAATTTCACAATAAATAATAATAATATCTTGTAAGAATTTGAATCCATTTTATTTCATATTTTTTCACACCTACGAATCGGACCGATTGAAATGAGCACGGAATAGTGTTACCATCCGGACAGACCGGGAATCGACTCACCGTCCGTGCACTGCATGTCGACCTTATTTTTTTTAATTGTACAATTTGTATATATATATATACACACCTCCAGTATCCAATACAGCTGACTACTCCTATCCAAGTCTCCCTAGTCGCTAACTGTAACTGCTTTAGAACCAGTATGCACTGCACATTATTTTTCGCATTGCAAAATGACATACGCATGCGTCAGGAATTTCTATTCGAACAAACCTCACTTGCCGTCCAGGTCAGAGATTTTAATAAGGTGGCAACACCAGCACGGAATTTTTCATTACTTATAATGCGGCGAAACTGAATTTTAGTCTTTTAAATTCAGATACTTAAATAAGGGGAGGCAAAATTTTCCTCCGCCCCGGGAGGCTGACACCCACGCTACGCCACTGAGTGTAAGCACTACAGAAGGGTTCTCTGTTAATTTTGGTTTGCATCAGGATCGGGCCTTAGTTTTTATTTGTTAGATCTCACAATAGACGTGTTAATGTGTGACATAAAGTGTGAAGTTCCGTGGAGTATGCTGTTTGCGAAAGATATTGTGCTGTGTGAACTTTCCCAATTCAAGGCTGATAAGAAACTGGAAGATAATAGAAAAGTTTTGGAAGACAGGGGCATGAGGATTAGCAGAACTAAAGCAGCATATAGGATTCTGAATGCTAGAGATTAGTTTCAAATTCAAAATGTGTCACTCCCTTTTGTTTTGTTTAAATATCTTGGGACATTTGTCGAGATGAAAAGTGGATTGAATTCGGAGGTGCGGCATAGAATTCAATGTGGATGGATGAACTTGAAGAAGCTGAGTGGTGTGTTATGCGACAATAAAGTTAGCTGCAAGCTGAAAGGAAAATTGTATAAATCGATTGTTGGACCTGTAATGTTATATGGTGCTAAAACATGGGCAATAACAAGAGCCCAAGAAAGAAATATGGAGGGGCAGAGATGAGAATGTTCAGATGGATGTGTGGAGTGTCAAGGAAGGATAGAATAAGAAATGATTTTGTTAGAGGTTTTGTTAAGGTAGACCCCTTGAGCAAAAAGGTTTATCAACGTACATTGAGGTGGTTGGTGTACAGCGAACAATAATTATTATGAAGTGATAATTATGTTGAAAAGAAAATCGGAAAAGCTAGTAGTGAAAGGAAAGTGGAAAACAGGAAAACAAAAAATGCGTTCGAAAGATAAGGTGGAAGAAGACTTCGACCAGAAAGGACTTAAGAGAGAAGAACCCCTTGATAAAGAGAAACGGAAATGACGTATTAGAGAAAAAACGCCGACCCATATAAACATGGAAAAAGCGAAAATAAAAAGAAAAAGAAAAAAAATAAGAAAAGAACGTACGAAGTAAATTTGCTCGAGGTGTATAAGAAACAGGCAAACAATACAAGTCAGTTGATGAACTGAAAACAGCCATTGCATAGTACTAAAAAATTCTAATGTGAATACAATGCAAACCTGATTCAATAATGAGGTACAGTTTATAATGTCAGATTTTATGAAAATGGCTTTATTGGTCATTATGTGTATGAAATAATCAATTATATGAAAATTTTGTAACATCTAATTTCTAAACTTATTAAAGTACTCGTGATATAAATCAACAATAACATATTTGTGTTGTTAAAGACATACATATCAAAGTAGTATTTGTTATATTTTAAAATAAATGTTGTATTTAGGGTGGCTATGAAAATTTACCAATCCATCGTATGTTAGGAATCATTTTGTAAAAACTACTGTAAAAATTAAAACAATTTACATTGTACTAAATTTTCCATACCTGTCCAATGCGGTGATGTATTCTTCATAATTTTCAGATTGAGACATTAGAGAAATTCCTAATAGTATATCTATATAAAAATAAATTGGTATTAATGATGTTTAAAGAAATATGTTACAGTAGAGATTAATACCTGCAGCTATGTCCAGCGTGCAATATTTCATCCATTTCAGGGCATTAAAAATTTCACCTTGCTGCAGATTTTTTAATTTTTCGACTAAGAAATTTGAATGCTCCATGAGCACATTTTGATGATTTTTCAGATTCCAAAGGTGAAAAAATGGAGCTAAATATCTTCTCCTTTTTCTCCAATTATCATCAGGACTTTATTTGATTAAACACAGAAAATTGAAAACAACAACATTTTAAATAAATGTAAAATAATACATTACCTGTAGAAAATAGTATTTTTTCCAAACACTGGAATAAAGAAATCGTAAGTAGCATCCTTATTGATAAAACTGTTGCTTTTTAGAACTTCCTACAAAAAGCAATAAATTTTCATTTATAATAAACATATTATATAACTATATACAGTATTATTCATTACCTTTGCAGATTCCGGGTGTATGAAAATAAACACTTTATATCCAAATATGTTCATGTATACAACTTTCTCTTTTGGAAATAATGTAGAGAGTCCAAGTAGTACATTCGAAGTAACTTCATAAAGATAAAAAAGTTATTTATATATTCATAAATAATCAAATTTTTCGATAAAAGGTAATAACATACGTATGCCTAAAGTCGATTTGTAGTATTCTCTGTCACGTGAAAGAAGTAATTTATTCCACAAAAATGGTAAAGTGGATATAGATGAAAGTTTTTCCATTTTCATATCCTGAACATTTCTTTTATTTTCTCGTAGATTTTTATCTGTTATTAAATAAAAGTAAATATTAACTTTGCATCGCATTTTGCATAGAACCTCAACGTTGTCGGTTTGGATTGAAGTTACACTGGTAAGTGAAAAATGTGCTAAATGTAATTATGCTATCAACTTTGTTCTTTCTTATTTGTTGTTTTGACGACTTTAGTTTACGAGGCCTAATTAATTTTCGTTCGAAAAACGTTTAATCTATTGATTTTTCATATTAAATAATTATTTCCACTTAAAAGAGAATCTGACAGTTAAATAAAGTGCAGGGAAATAACTGCAGCAAAATAAATACTCTCAAAAATCTGTTTTTATAAGTAGTAGTGGTTTGGGCCATACTGAACACAAAATTAAATTTACATTATAATTTGAAAAACTGGAAATAAAAATTTGTTAAATGGAATTATTTTAGATCAAAAAATTAATTTTTCGATCACAAATCTTAATTTAATTAATTTTATTGTAACAATAATACAAAGTCTAATATATTATTTTAAATTATTATAAATTAATTCGCAATAATAATTTCAGATCAAAAATCTCTCGGAAAATTAAGATTATAAATATTTAGCAATCTTTTCAATTCAGTTCATTTTAGTTCGACAACTTAAAATAATATTATAACAATAAGGCAAAGTAAAATAAGAAAATAGTTCAATATAATAATTATTTAAATTATATTTGTTAGTTATTTATTAAATACCGTAAAGAGAACAATGCTTTTTAAAACATTTGTGGTAATAACAATTTTTTTTTAATATTATTCAATCTTAGACACCATAAGAAGTTCGATGTCTAAATAATTATAGTTCTAGTTTTTAAAAAGATATTTCTGTCTATCCATTCACTTTTAAATATAAATAATTTGGTATACGTTGTGAAATACTTTAATAAGTTTTGTAAATTATTATGTTCGATCTAGTCCGTTATATCCAATAATTTTTTGTCTATAAAATTTAATCTATGAATTTTTTGTTATAAAATATTCTTAGTACTTCTTAACAGAATCTATATAAATATCTATTACAGCTTCTATAGGACTGTGTAATGTTTTTATGGCCAATCGTCGATAAATAGTTTCATCATCTTTCACTCGAAATATTTCAAAATCTATTAGAATCGCATATAAAATGAATAGAAATTAATGTTTAAAGAATTAAGTACAACAGACAAATTTTATAACGATAAATTGGTTAAGAAATTTGTTAAAAATCATTTTTACTTAGCACACCTGGTGCAATAATGTTTAATCAGTGTTGTACTTTAATGAAAAATTATTAAAGTATAAACTTTTTTTTATTTTTTTCATTAAAAAAAATTACATAATATTAAAACACATAGACAACAGTGAGCAACAACATTGGTATGGTATTGGCATTGAATACTGAAGCTTTGTTAAATTTAAATATAAATACACACAGTAGAATCAATGATCATTCACAAACTTAGGCATTTAATAAGTTGCACCAAGATGAGTCGTAAGTACATTTTATTTCATATCCATGCTTCATTGACATATTTTTTCAAAAAATACATAATATTAAAACACAAAATAATATTTTTTTCTCTAACTCTGTATAAAATAAAACAATTTAATTAATAATAATAATATTATTTTATCGTTCTAATTTATTAGTAAAAAAATATTACCTCATTGTTAGCAATAACACAAAAATTATATACCTATACAAATTTAAAAAAAATAAATGTAATCATATTTACTAATTTTTATGTAATAATAATTAAAAATATATTTACCATGTTCATCCATATAAAATTTATAAGAGACCAGTGAGCAATAAAATTGGTATGGTATTGGCATGGCATGTAAATTTTTGAGNGTTATAAATTATTTTCAGATCAAAAATTTCTCGGGTAAATTAAAATTATAAATAATTTTATTCTCAAATCGTTTTTTTTTTTTTTAGTTTCCATATTTAGAAAAACTTTACAATTTAATTTTTTTCTTTAATTTTCATAAAACTTCCTGTAACAGTAAGGCAAAGTTTAATATATTCTTTCTAATTATCATAAAATTTATTTGCAATAATAATTTTTACAATTTGTTCAAATATCCGAGTAAATTAAAACACGACAACTTAAATTAATATTTTAACAATAAGACAAAGTAAAATAGGGAAATAGTTCAATATAATAATTACTTAAATTATATTTGTTACTTATTTATTAAATATCGCAAAGAGAACAATGATTTTTATAATATTTGTGGCAATAACAATTTTTTAAATATTATCTGATCTTTGACACCGAAGAAGTTCGATATCTTAATAACTGTAGCTCCAGCTTTTAAAAAGTTTTTTTTTCCCTATCTATCCACCTTTAAATAAAAATAATTCGTTATACATTGTGAAATGATTTAATAACTTTTGTAGATTACTATGTTCAATCCAACCAATTATATCCGATGGGTTTTCGTCTATAAAATTTAATCTATGAATTTATTTGCTAGTAAAATTGACTTGCTATTTATCTTTCGCCTGTAATTGATACATTTTAACAGAATCTATTACAGCTTCTATAAGACTGTGTAATGTTTATATGGGCCATTGTCGATAACTTGAAACGCTTCAAAATCTATTAGCATCGCAATCTCTAATTTATTTAAATAAAAATTAAGATTAGTATTATTTTATATTAGATGAAGAAAAAAACGAGTACAATTCTTGTACAATGTTAAAAAGTTAACTGTTACTTTGGCAACATCATTTACAACTAAATTTAATGAATGAGAAGGATGCACGAGGTACAGAAAAAGTTCTACAATTTATTTTTCTTAAATTTACGATTTATGTGTCCGTTTGTCATAAAAATTTGTCTTTCCACTTTTTCTCGAGACTACACATATTCGAGTACAAAGTAACCGGTTTCGACTTACTTCTACTTAAGAAGTAGTTAAATAATTAAGAGATTAAGGAATCAGGGACATAAATAAAACCCTGCTGAAAGAGCCAGAATATTACTTAAAAGCTTAACCGACCCAATCTCTAGCCGAGTACAGCGGGGACTGATTTCTTCGTAATATTAGACGTAATATAAACAGAAATGTTTCCAGTTCAACGGGAGTAACCGAAAAGTTGTAAATTTTGGAAACTTCCATGGACATCTGGTCCTAAAACGAATTAGTTAGAAAACAAATGACTATTAAGTTTAACATATTTAGATTTTTACAGCTATGGTGAGAAACGTTTAAAATTTACAACAACCCTGTCGCGTCCTTTGAGTTATACTAGTGATGCGACAAAAGAAGCATTTGACCGGTATCGGCACTCTCGCGATTTGGCAGCTCGCGTGCATGCACGCACTGCAAACCTAGCGGAACCGTCGCTGATCCACTCGTAGGGAGCTATTTGACTAAGTGGTTAAGATTTAAAAAGTAAAGAAGATTTTATGTCCTTTTTACGTACGTTTCTTTACAAAGCTATATTTAATTACAGTAATACCTCGACTTACGCTACCCCGACTTACGCGAACCCGGAGTTACGCGATTTTTAAATCTTGTCGATTCGTCTTTTGTTTGAACGCCACGCAACTCTTGATTACTCATTGCTCCAGCACTATTGTTCAGTTTACAACTTTGGACGTATCGTGCGGAATCGAGGCATAGCTACAATTTATTTTGTGTTATTTATTTCTGTATTTGTTATATCTACGGAGACTCGAGAGACTCTATGTGGTGATTTCTTGCAACAATGAACGAATCAAAAGACGAGATAAGCTTCTAACGAGAACATTTATTAGCTTACGTACATCCGACTTGGATTTTACACAAATTGAGAAATTATACCCCGTCTTACGCGAATTCGACTTACGCGGTTATTACTCGGTCCCACCTATCGCGTAAGTTCGGGGTATTACTGTATAATTTTCTTTAAAAATATATTCATACAATTGAAGGATATTTTGTACTAGATATGTATAATTGTGTATCCACCCACATTTTATTTCACCAAGTAAGTTTTTATAATTTTATTTCTAATTTTAGCGCTTATATCGTGGCTAGGGATTCAGAATGAAATTGCGATACTGAAAATTTATTTTAAAAAAGTTTTGGCTCGAGATCATATAATGAAAAAGAAAACATTATTAAAAAAGAAAGGTTAAATGCCTAAGTTAAATATAAACACTTCAATAAAAAAAAATCTGTTCGATATTTTCACAATAAAACGGTCCTGTAAATGCATAAAGATGCAAAACTTGTTTTGTTTGCTTTGCCTACTATTTGCAAATGAAATTAATGTGTGGAATAAGAATGGCTTTGACAATTTAGCTGGCAAAAGACACGAAAAACCGTCGATTCTTTCGTAGTCTACTTGAAGCAATTTAGAAATCAAAGCGGAATAGAATTTAGCATTAGTAAGTAATATATAAAAGAAATATTGAAAATTATAACGAGATAGTTACGGCTAATATATATATATATTAAAATTAATAGATGTTATATGTTTTTATCAAAGCGAGAATCGACATTCAGAGGGCATAGGGAATCTATTGAATCTAATAACAGAGGTAATTATATTAAACTTTATTAATAACTATTTATTAATTACGTCCGATAAGTAATCTATTGAAAATACATTTAAAGAATTAATTGATTGCCCCTGGAAATTGGCTTCTTAAAAAAACACAGATTCCCTATCATCAAATGTGATGACACGCCACTTGTTCGAACCTTTTTAAATTCGAATTTATTATTGCATATTGGTTGGATTATAGAACGATTGTAAATGTTCAAGAAAATTGATCAAATTGAGTTTGATTCTCGGCAATTCTCATCATTCTCAGCGAAAGGTGTTATATAACTATACTATAGTTGTTGAAATACTGAATATAAATGGGGTTTGCTTGCGAAACCACCGCGGGAGAAGTCGGGGGTAACAGGTAGTTGATAATAGAGGTTGCGGCCGACGTTTTCAACGCGCAAACGTGTACGTCGGACGTTCAGCGCCGCTTTCCTAAAGGCCTAGAAGTTTTGCAATGGTGTTTGGAATATCGAGCATGATTCCACTGACTATCCGAACACTATTGTCAAACTTCTAGTCTTATAAGAAAGCAACGCTGAACGTCCGACATACACGTTTTCGCGTGAAAACGTCGGCCGCAACCTCACTAATAAAACTTTATCAACCGTTCGCGAGCAAATAATTAATTTAAACATAAATCTAGAATTGATAGTAAAGCTTTGGCATTTTACTATCTTGTTACTTGACAAATTTTTATTTTTTGTGATATAAAAAATACGTATTAATATGACAAATTTTTAATCGTATTTGAAAAATTAATTTTGTGATCAAAGTGGCCCAAATCTCTATTACTAATAGGGAACAAATATTTAATTTTTTAAAGTAGAAGAAGCCCACAGATAAAACGGCAAATCTACGGTTAAATCGCTACCAACTCCTTTTTCTTCAATGTAATCGACCGATAAATGATTTTACCATTTGATTTCAAGTGTTTCGCACTGAATAAGCGAAAATCCCTTTAAATTGTGAAGTACAGTACTTGATACTTCACAGTTTAAAGGTTAAAGTAAGTTAAATTAAATTGCTTTTCAATGCGTATTACTTTTACGCTATTTCGTAGTAAGATAGACGCAAACTTTTACATTTTATGTAATTTATTACATTAAAAATCAGAAAAAAATTTCAGTTTTTTTGCCACTAAAAAAATAAAAATAAGAGCGTTGAAACATTATAATTTTTGAGCCTATAAATTTCACCATTGTTGCCTTTACGTACGGTACACGCAATTTTATCGATTTAAATTTATTATAGATAAATTAGGTAGATTTACCAAATGCTAATATTTTAAACTGTTTTACAATTTGGATGTAAAGTTAAACAACGAAGATTAAAATCTGAAAAATATATATATATATAATGAATGTTTTTTTCATCTACTGTAATTACGTCATTTCTACCAAAAGTAGGACACCAGGACGACCTTCACCCAATTTCCAATCACATGTGTTGGGAGGGGCATAGCCGCGAGACATCTTAGTTGTAAACCTAACAACTCTGACGTCATCTACCATGGTGGACGAGATTCGTTTACCTATGAATTATATTTTTCTTGAATTTGATTAGCAAGTAGGACAATAACGACATGACTTAAATACGTAAAATCTTAAATAATTAAATAATATTGATAAGCAATCCAAACATTTTGAAAAAAATCATAATGGATAGAATCATAAAAAGGTTTAATATAAATTAAAAAAACACTTTTAGTCAAAAATTACCTCGAAAAAATTCACAAAAGGAGAAATTATGTAACTATATAGGAATATTTTTTTACTAGAAGTAACTGTTAAATAAGTATTTTAGCAAAAGAAAACGAGAAAAATGCGTGGGAAAAATTTCTTAAAAATTTTTTCACGCTTATGCTTTACGTCTATGATATTGGCGCCCACAAAAATGGCCACTGCTGACAGGCTAAATTAATGATAGTTTAAAAATTAAATAAAGGAAAAATATTTAATTATTGGCTTACTTCCAGATACGAACGAATTCTCTCCATATTTGTTCGAAGTCGAATCATTTTTCTGTTGTTTCCTTCTGTTTCTTCCAAGTGAATATATGGCAAGAAGAGAAATAATAATTAAACTTAACAGAATTTGGAATGAACTCAACAGACACATGGTCAATATTTTTCTTGATCTGAAATTTTCGATGCGGTACGTAATAATCAAATATCTATGCGTATGTATCTGTAAAACAACAATCGCCGAATAATACCAATCAGAATCAGAGTTTTTCTACCACGTGAGTCGCAGTTTGCCAATTATTGTTTAACTTTTGTTTAATTATTGTCTAACTTTTCATTAAAACAAGCCGTAAGTTCTTCCATTTTTTTCATTCGCGCTTGGAAGATTTAATTTGTTTTATACTAGTTACAGCACATCTTCAGTTAAAACGTGGTCGTATTTTGGGTATATTTTGAAAATAGTTATATAATATTTATTAATTTAATTACCGTTAGGGTTGATTTATTAAGGGTAGAAACGTCACCTATTTCGAATACGATAGTATGTCATAACCGGTTTTGTTACTAAGCAATAATACTTTTCTTTCTAAAACTATTTGTTCCAACTTTTACGATAATGTTTACGTTTTAATATTCGTTTCGCAAAATGTACAAGAATACCATGGTGACGAAAATTTGACCGAGAAATAAAGTTTTCTTACAATTCAATTGTATAAGAGCCAAGAAAGTAGAAGTGATTTTTCATTCTCTTTAAGTCGGTGAATACAAAAACATCGTTTAACCACGCTTATAGATTTTGTGTGCGTAGTAATGTGAAATGCAAGTATAAACGGGCAGACGGCTCTAGAAGTAAAATAACTGAACACAGACATACACAGGTTGAAGGCTTATGCGCCCGACCAATAGCCGACCCATGTGAAGTTTTTCGGCTTTCTTTTCGTATCAAATATGTAATTCGTTGTCACTTTTCCATAAAAGTAATCCCGAAAGAGATTGCCCATTTATTGCGTTGCCTTATTTAATCGACAGAATCTATTCCTCGGAGACACGTGACTATTTCTTCACGTTCGTGGATTGTTCTTTGTCCCTTTTGAAGATGTCGTTCCTCGTTCTTTCTCATCTGACGATATTCCTCAATGAAATCCCGGACGAATCCACTATGTGTGTCAAAAAAGCTACATTACTACTCGCAGGGATAAAGAAGAATAAAAATTAATAATTATATATATATATTTTGTATTAAATAT